TGTTTATACATTTGTTTATACATCTGTTCACATCTGTCTATTAACAATACTGAATATAACATTACACTTTATATAGATGCTCCAAGCTACTGTCACGGGTTAATAAGTGACTTTTGCTACTAATGATCCAGCTCTAGTAGGAAGTGACCAACAACTCCACTCCAAGACTAACTTAATGCAACAAAACAAACAGATAATGTTGTCCTTTTTCTGGTTTTTTATTTACCCCAAATTGATTTTTTATTATTTATTTCACTTCTACTTATATATCTTATTTTTCTTAAATTAATTACATCATAATTGATTATATGATCAATTGACTTTAAATTAACTACATGGCTAATTCCATATACTATCATTGATTTTCAAATTAACTATATATTTTATACATATTTATTATTATACTATACCTTATTATTTAATTAGTAGTATTGATTTCTGTAAAACCAATCTTATGTAGTGCATAATTTTCGATCTTGATCGATCGATCGCCACGTGATCATGTGAACACAGCATCAAATGAACATTTGCATGACTCCTCATAGCTATATGCACTTGCTATCTATACACTTTTTTTTATTTATTTATTTATTTATTAACATAATTTATAATTTATTGTCTTGTTTTCAGAGCTCCAAATTGACCCCTCTCACAAAATATACTGTATACTTTTCTCTACCATGACATGAGCTAGATTCTCTATGATTATTGTTCTCAAAATCATTACTAACTCTTTCACTTTCGTCAGGGCTTTGATTCAAATCACATACCTTTTTGACTCTGTTCTTGGTAATAGGGTCCCTGAATTCAGTTCTATCCAATTCGGCCAGGTAATATTGACTATGCTTTCCAATTTTTTGAACCTTATAAGGTCTATTTCAATGATAATCCAATTTTCTGGATAATAAAGTTTCCAAAATTAAATCATAGACCAGCACTAGGTCCCCTACCGCAATCTCTTTTTTGCTAATATCATTACATCAATCGTAAAAGTACTTCTATTATTCTTTTAATTCATTATAGTTGACATGCACTTCTTTTAATTTATGGATCAAATTCTTCATTTGCAGTGCCCAAAACTCCAAAAGTTTCTCAGTAGTCTAATCCCTTTTTAGCACATAAGTCTGATAAGTCTTGATCATCAACTCCAAAGGTGTTATGGCATCTTTTTCATATATGAGCTGAAAAGAAGAATATCCAAGTTCTCTAACAATAATATTTAATGCCTACATAACTTCATGCAGGTACTCATGCTATCGATTTTGCTTCTCAGCACACACCTTACACAGCACTTTCGTAATTTTCTGAATGGTCCTTTTTGCTCTCCTATTTGCTTCTGGGTGATAACTTGCTGCAAAGTTTTGGTCAACACCCAACTACATAGTAAGTTCGCTTATGACACTATTCTTGAATTCTGTGCCCCTATCTGACACTAATTCTACAAAACATCTATGCCAGATGATCACATCATTTCAGATGAACTGGGCAGTACTCTTCGCATTTTTTTTTTGAGTATCTGGGCCTCCACATACTCAGTTAAATCTTTTACAGCCACTACTATATGTTCATATCCAGCATTAGTACGTTGCATTGGGCCTATGCAATTGATATACAATCGATAAAAAATCCAACTGGTCACTACTATATAAAGGGGCTCTTTAGGTCTCTTGAGCTCACACCTTTGACACACTATGCAGGACATTATGTGGGTCCTCCTGTCATTATACAGATCACCTGATGCCCATTCATAGCTTATTAAAATCTTTCTAATGCAACTGTTGATACCTCAGTGTCTCCTTTCACTAACAATCTCTTCATGATTTGCCTTTATAATTATCATTTTTTTTTCAGGATCAATAATTATTCTTTGTGGTAGCTTTTCTTTAGCAGATCTGTAGTACAATTGTTCATATAACAGACAATATTTCCTCAACTTTGGCTTTAATTGTTTAAGATCTTCCTTTGTCATATGAAACAGCCAGCTAAAAAATCTTAGACAGTGTATTATGGCTTTTAAATCATTTAATTTTTGACTTTCAATGTTTATATACATTAATAGATCCTCAATATAATTATTATCCATGTGACTCTGCTGGTTTGAAGGGTTTGGATATTTTGAGATACTATCAGCATTTGAATATGACTTTTCTGACTTATATCATACATGAAAATCGAACATTTGAAGGGCCAATACTCATCACATGAGTTACTCTTTGAGCACTGCCTTATTAAACAACCACTCTAATGCATAATGATCGACCCAAATATCAAATGTGGTTCCTACTATATACTGCTCATTTATATTACAACCAAATACTATACTCATATATTTCTTTTTTGTTAGAGTATAGTTGAGCTTATGATTATTTAATTTCCTAGATTCGAACAATACAGAACACAACTGATCTTCTTTGTTTCATTGCTCTAGTATTACACCTAAAGACACTTCATATGCATCTGTAAACATCTGATGCAGATATTCATAGTTTTTGGCTTTTTCCCAATTAGGTGCTTTCAACATAACATTTTTTACTAATACCTCTTTTAATTTTTGAAATAAATGTTCTTGTTCAATGTTCTATTGATATTCAATATTCTGCTTTGTTAGGTCCATCAATGGTTTTACCACTTTGCTATAATTTTTAATAACTCTTGAATAATAATTCATTACTCCCAAAAACAATCTAACTTTAGTAATATTGGTAAGACTTTTCTATTCTACCACCCTTCTGATTCATTTTGGATCTACTTTTATTCTCCTTTTGCTCACAACATACTTGTATATATTCAACTCTTTATAGAGCAAATGGCACTTCTTTGCCATGAATATCAATTTAACCTCTTTAAACCTGTGTGCCAATTTTATGAATAAGTCAACATGATGTTCAATTGTACCATCTGTCTACAATCTTATGTCATCTTGATAAGCAGCAGTGACATTATGTCATTCATTGCTCTTTAATACAATGTCCATTAAGTGTTGAAACATCTCATTAGCATTCTTCAATCTCATACACTTAATGGTATATCTCAACAATCCAATAGGATTAGCAACTGCAACCTTATCTCTATCTTTCTCCCAGATCTGGATTTGCCAATATCCTTTATTTGCATCTACCAATAAATATCAGTCATGACTGATTGCTGCTTCCAGAATGTTACGAATTAGAGGCAACAGATATCCATCCTTTACAATATACTTATTCAGCGTTTCATGTCTCCCACAACCCGAAATTGGTCAGTTTCAACCTTTTTCTTGTTTATAGAAAAACAGTAATATGCATATTGCTCTTTTTCTTTTTCTAGTAAACCATACTTGACCATTTCACAAAGTTGGTTTTCAAACAATATAGCCTGTTCTGGATTATTAATTCAAATGGGTCTTATCCTGATTTTTGGTATTATCTTCCTACCTGTGCATACCTCATATTTAATTAAGTCTGTTTTTTCAATTTCAAAGAGTTCGAAAGCAAATACCTCTGGGACATGTTCAATTAGCTGTTTTATTACATGATCCTTAATATCATTAGATATCTTATAGCTAACATATAACATATTACTATTTTCTATTGTAAGATGCATTACTACTTCTAGTCCTTTGATATTAATTATACTGTTCTTATGCTCATATCTGTAGTCCAATAAATGACCTAACTATAATGCTTTAACTATGAGTTGTTTGTCATCAACTAGCTCAATTTCTTTTTTCACTAATTGATTGTCATTCTTGGCTTTTTCTTTTAATACTTTATACTTGCTATTTATTTTCTCAAGTTCAATTCTGTTCACATGAACCCTTTGCATTAATAAAACTTCAGTTTCCTCTTTGCTGTCTTTATCGTCATCCTTATCATATTCATGGTTTACTCAATATTCAGGTACAGTAGTGGCTACAAATAATATTTTCTTGTATTTTGAGGCAAGCAAACACTAATACTGATTATTTCTCTATTGCAGGTTGCATTTAGTGGCCATAATCCATGACATGCCTAATAATATATTGAAACTAGCAGATGCCATGATATAAAATCTTTGTGCTACTACTATTCTAAGTTTGGTATATAGCCAAGAAAGTTGCTGATACTGTCATTGGCCATTCTACTCTTTCTATTAACAGGTCTCTATAATAGTTTCTTTTCTCTAGCATATTTCTCACAAATAAGATTTAATCAGAATCCAGGATCTATTGGAGCATTTATTCTTTCTCTATTGATAGTGATTACACCCATAGGAATATCACCTGCTTGTTTCATATTCCTTTTCTGAACTACATGAACAATGCTCACATTGGTATCCAACAGAACAATGTTACTTTCTCTTTTTTTTCAGGTTAATGTCTTTAATACCTCTGACCTAGCTTTCGAGAACCACTTAAACATTTGACTGAAAGTCAATATTATTTTCATTTTAGTGATTTTCTTGAGAATATCAAATTCCTGACTTAATTCTGATAATGGTATATACATTTTAGGCCCCAATATAGGCAATTTAATGAAGTTATTTCTGGAGATGTTGCTTCCTTCCTTTTTCATTTTATCCTCATCTTCGACTATAGCATCTTTTGTATTCTTGTTTATATGGCTCTTTTTTTGTAAATTATATTTCTGTATATCAAATATAGGTTCTTTTCTTACTATCTCGACTTTCAGGCATTCAACATCTGGATTATCTGATGTCGAGGTTATTTCAAAATATCGAATGGTTGCACCCCTTATTTTGACATCTTCATTTCTTAGATTTCTTAGTTCATTTCTCTGTTCAACAGGTGGACCTTAAGGATCTCAATTCGGGCAATTGTGTAAGATGTGTCCCTCTTGTTGACAATTAAAGCATCGTCGATTATCAATGTTTGTTCTTAAATCTCATGTTAGATACTAGTTTCTTAAAACAGAATGTTCAGGTGCTGTGCTACTAGTAAGTTCCTTAACCACCTTTACTAATTTCTTGATGTCTGCTTTAATCTTGTCTATTTTTGTAACATCATTGGCTTCTTGGTTTATTCAGTTTATTGTTAAAGCCTTAAGTGCAATAGATTTCTCTTTAACCAATAATGAACTCCTTTTATCATGATGCTCTCTGTCCTTTTGAAAGGTTTCGATCTGAAGCACATATTTCTTCATTTTTATATAATTGGACAGACAAAAACATTCCACTCTAGATCGATATGATTTACATAAGCCATCTAAGAACCAATTACATTGTTTATGGCTCCTTATCTTGTTTTTTATTACATCAGCATAGGCTTCAAATCTACTTGCATATCTCCTTGCTGTTTCTCTTTCCCCTTGTCTGATATTTCTTAATTGATTAATCTTTATTCTATCATCATTCTCAGCATTTATTATTTTCACTATAGCATTCATCAAATCTGACCATTGTGTCTTAGTTTTTATCAATTTTCGTACCCATGGTTTGGTTTCCTCTAGCATGTGCAAGACAATCATTCCACATTGTGTTTTCTCATCCCAACCTTTTGATTTTGCGAACCTCTCATAATCAAAAAGGAACCCATCGATATTATTTTTGTTTTTTCTATGAAAGAACAGCTTTGTCAAATCTTTCAACATTATGGCCACATGGATACCAGTAAAGATCCTGATATAATGAGTAATTTGGATATGTATAATTGTTTTAGTGCTTTAATGACTTGCTACAGTATTTAATAAATATTTGGTTTTTTTTTTTTTTTTACTAACTCACTGAAATTCTTTTTTATATTTGACGAGATAACTGATTATTATGTTCAGATTCTCATATTATGGGTTAATAATTGACTTTCGCCACTAATGATCCAGCTTTAGTAGGAAGTGACCAATGACCCTGCTCCAAGACTAACTTAATACAATGAAACAGACAGGTAATGTTGTCCTTTTTTGGTTTTTTATTTATCCCAAATTGATTTTTTATTATTTATTTCACTTCTACTTATATACTTTATTTTTCTTAAATTAATTACATCATAATTGATCGTATGATCAATTAACTTTAAATTAACTACATAGCTAATTCCATATACTATCATTGACTTTCAAATTGACTATATATTTTATGCATATTCATTATTATACTATACCTTATTATTTAATTAGTAGTATGTAATGCATAATTTTCGATCCTGATCGATCAATCACCACATGATCATGTGAACATAGTGTCAAATGAACATTTGCATAACCCCTCATGGCTACGTGCACTTGCTATCTATACACATTTTTTTATTTTTATTTATTTATTTATTTATTTATTAACATAATTTATAATTTATTGTCTTGTTTTTAGAGCTCCAAATTGACACCTCTCACTAAATATACTATATACTTTTTTCTACTACAACACTACTATTCAAGATAGTGCAACTAAAGATTACAGATACACAAATCTAACTGATCAACAGAGACAGTTACTATAACACAAACCTATTTTCTAAAATTTATTATTTCTGAGATTTGAACTCTAGACCTGCCACTTGAAGGTTGACAATCTAATCATTTCACTAGATCATCACATCTTTGAAATTATTCTTTACATTTTTTCAAGAGTTGCATTTTTACTAATAAATATGCAACAAAAGTAGCTGTATTCTTGTTTAATATCTTTATTGTATTTGAACTATTAATCTTTCTTTAAAATAATAATAGATATAAGTTTATTACAAATATTATTAATAATCTCTTAAATTTTTAACCAAATTTTAAAATAAGCCAAGAAGACTGCAAATTTAAGATTTTATAAAAAGAACAAATTTTGTATTAAAAGACAAACTTAAAAAGTGACTTAAAGATTGATAAAATAAAACTGATGATTTATATTAAACAATTGGCTTAGTAATTGTAATTTATTTAATAAATTTATTTGTATATTATGCTACTAATAAAAGACTATTTGAGTTAATTTTTGGTTATAAGTCTTGTAGCAATTGTGTTCTTTTAGATTAGCTTTGGTCTCAAGAAATTTAATATAAAAAAATATTTCTAATAATATTAAAATTAAAAACTATAATAATATTTAGTTTAATAATAATAAAGATAACATTCAAACTAAAAACAATAAATATGAAAATAAAAATTAAATTCAAAATTAATTACTAAATGAGAATAATAATAATATATCTTTTATAATAAAAATTGCTTTTATTTAAGAAAATAAAAATTAAATAAGTTTTAAAGTTTTTTCATATTTTAGAATTTTCTAGCATTTAATTGTATACTGCAGTATATGTTAAATATAAAAAACTTAAAATTAAATTGCCAACTCTTCCCAACAATCACTTATATCAAAATTCTGCTAAAAAAAATTTTTATTTTCTTTAATAAACTATATCTAAATATTCCTAAAAACTATATTAAACTGTTCACTACTTAATTTATATATATTTACAAAATTTTACATTGCTAGCTTAAATATTAAATAAATTATTTAACTTTATTTCAAAATAACTTCAAAGCACTTATACTCAAATCCGGCCTAGGAAACTTGTCTTGTTTTTTAAGACAAAGTTGTCCAGCTTATCTCAGGCTTCAATTTGATATAAGTTTCATTAAAAACAGTCAAAAATTAACTATTTTATAAGCAAAAAACTTCAAGTAGCTATATTCTTTAAAAATTTTAAAATTTTTTTAAATTTTGGTTCTTTTCTCTTACTTCCTTCAAATCCAGACCCCAAACATATTTTAAAATACTACAAATTATTGGTTCAATTAATTGATAATTATTTTACAACTATTTTCTTTTAAATCTTTAATTAAATTACACAAAACAAATAATTACAAATTTGTATTAATTTTAAAATTACACAACCTTGTGTATATTTTATACTATTTTTAGCAAAAGTTACACAAGCCATACTGTACCACAAACCATACCAGCTACTATTACACCAACTACAAAAAGTAATACAAAGAGTATAATATTACACAAACTAAAAATTACTTTTTTTGAAGCTATTGTCATTCTCTTTAATATTTTTATAAAAATAACAAGCCATAATGCCTATCTTAACTATAAAAGGACCTGATTCTCATGACTTAGACTATTATTATAACAAATATTCAGATCGCTTTGGTATTGGCACCAAAGAATCTGATCCACTCACTTTATATATCTTACCCAAAGATGTTAAACCTACAAAATATGAAACCAATAAGCAACAACATTACTTTCAAATGCCAACTCAATCTACTTTGTCTACTTGTCTTTGTGGCAAATTTTATACAAACTTTACTTCTAAACATTACAAAACTACTTATACTACACCTCTTTGACAAACCTCCAAATCAACTGCAATAGATATTTTTCCAACTACTATCATCTCTAAAAACTGATTTAATGACATTGTCGACAAACTACCTAAATTACTTATTATTAAACAACAACAAAGTCTTCAATTAACTTCTCAAATTTTACCATCCTCTTTTTATACAGATCCATCATCTGTAGCAATCATTCCACATTCTCAACACTATCACTCATACACCTTATGTAAAAAGAAAGATATTTCTTGTGTTCTTATTCAAAACTCACATCATGCACCTGAATATTCTCAAGCTGTAATCTTTAAAGGCTTCTTATATCATCAAGACTATATTAATAGTCTCTAATATACTAAACTTAAACTTCTTCCTCAAACCAAAGAACTTATTAAAGAACAATGTTCTATTTTTCACTTCTATTATTTTTTCAAATTTATCAAAGAAGAAAAAATCAAACTTCTCTAAAAACTTGCTCTTAGAGGCAAAAAAATCAAATAATAATCTAAATCAAAACAAAAACAACAGCAACCAAAAATACTCCAAACCAAACCAGAGATACTTCTAAAGATTTAGACTGGTTTCTTAATTACTTTATTACTAAAAACATGAAACAAAATACAAAACTTAATACAACACTTGCTTAACAACTTTTTAATTTTTCTAAAATTCATCTTTGTAAATTTACTTCAGGTCAACCAATCCTATCTATTCCAAATAATACTCAATTAACTCCAAATCAAAAACCTCCTCAAAAACAAAGTTTTAATTATTTACTCAAATCTATAACAACAAAAAGACCAGAATTTCTTACTGACTTTCTTCACCAATCTAATCTATTACTCTCTCTCTAACTTAATATCCCTCAATATGCTTATATCTCAATACTTAAAAATCTATTTACCAAATTTACTGAACTATTTTTCACAAAACTTGATTATCTGCATATCTTTCATTCTCATTACTCGATTCTACCTTATTTAATTTCTGATCAATGTAAAGTAGCAATTAACTTTGCTTGATTACATCTATTTTTTCATAACAAATACCAAACAATCCACTATCAAAAATTTATTAAAAAGTTAGAGCTTTACCCTCTTAGACTCTCAATGAAATATAATTTTGAATATGATGCCTCAAAACCCTTATTCAGTATTTATAACAATAACTGATTTACAATTACTGTTACTCTTAATATTCCTAAATCTAAATTTGCTAATATCTTTCAAATTCCATCACTTAAACCATATATTCATACTTTTAACATAGTATATAGACTTCTTTAAAGCTTATCAAAAACAATTTACTAATATTAATGAAGACAAAGTTAAAAACTATATTAAATACCAAA